AAATGCAATTTCAAATGCTTCACGAAATATAGGATAAAATTGTAAAGGATCACCCTTTTGTTGACGAATTGTATTATTGAATTCCTCGGAAAAAGAATTAGAGTTACAGTTTGATTGAAGATATGCCAATAGTTGTTCTAAACAATTATTTACCAAAGGAAAAACAGGTTCATTTTGAGTTTGAATAAAATTTAAATTATAAACGAACTCTTGAGAATAAACTAAAATAAAATGAAGGTAAATTCAGATAAGACCTAAATTATTAAAGTTATCAAGAGTAAGTAAAATTTTTTCAATAGTATCAGTTGAATTATTTTTAAATTCGTTCTTAAAAAAATCATGAATTAAAGAAAAATGATTAAAAACATAATAAATTATTTCAAACCACATATTCAAACAAGTAACAACTGGAAGTGGGACCTTTTGCGGTCTAGAAATTCCATGATTTTTTAAAAATGTCACATATCGACTTCTTCATACAGGACTAGTAACAAAAATAGTTTTTATTTTAAATAAAAACTCTTTAATGATTGAGAAGTGAGAAAAATTAAACCAAGTTTCATTAACTAAATTAATGATATGCGCACAGCATGGATTGTGTAATAGCTGTGGCATCAATAGTTTAAGAATATTATGATAGCTTTTTTTCATGTAAGCGGCAGAATCAGATAAAAAAAGACAGGGAATATTAAATGAAATATTATACTGTGACAAGATGCTAATAAGTAATTGAGATATTGTAGTGTTATTAACATCTACTAAAAAATTGACTGAAACAAGTTTGGTGCTTTCCCGATATGTAAATAAAGTATTTACTACTTTTCTCCCACAATCATCCATCGTTTCATCCATTATTATAGAAACAGGTTTTTCATTAAAAAAATTTTTAAATATTACAAGATGATTTCAAAAACATCGGGAAGATAAACTTGCCGAAGAGTTGATGCTTGTGAAACTGATCCTCCTTCACGACAGTGCTTTTGTAAAAATGGACGTAGGTGATTTACTTTTTCTAAAGGAATATCAGCCGTTACCATTGTTTTAATCAAATCCTTAATTATACTTCGTCTTATCTCATTAGCATTTAATGTAGTTTGTAATGTTCTTTGATACGTATGAGACGTATTTTTTCAGCATTGGTTTTATTTTTTTGATGTGATTTGCTATTTATATGATCTTTTACTGTTGACTTGCGCTTCCATTCTAATGGCACATTGCAAAATTTGCAAAAAAAGTGCATTATTATCCACATGAAGGTGTTCAGGATATTCTTTAACACGAGTATGAGGGGATACAACTTTATGTTGCGGCATTTTTGCAATTAGACTTTTCAATAAAAATAAAGGTTTGTTTTTTACTTTTTTTAGAAAATGTACTTTAACGAAATTATTTTTTTGATATTTATAATTATTGCTAATATATTCGCTAATATATTCGTAATTATTACTAATATTTTTATCGATTACAAATATTTAATTAATACGTACTGTAATAATTATGTAATAATTAAGTAATTAATTAAGTCCGATTGACTTTTTTGCTTAGTTGAGCGCAGTATTTCAAAAAGTGCAAGTTTTTTTTTCAAATTCGCATATTTTCAAATCGCAGAATAATCACAGAAATTGCGAATTAATGACGACAGAATTTTGGTTTAATTGCCGCAGAAAATCATCGTCCCTGAATGCATGTAACTGGATAATTTAATATCCAGATGAATCTTGTACTATTTAAAGCGATGAGGTTCTCTAATAAAGAAATAAGAAGTTTTCTTAGTGAATGAACGTCCTAAGTAATAAGCCGTGACATCATAAGGTGTTGAGATGGTAGTGCCTAGTACGATACACCAGTGCAAAGCGAGTGTTCAAACTTAGTGGAAACGAACCGAAGACTCCTATAACTGTGGATTGCCACGATAACGGTTATAATTGATACCCAAATAATCCTCCTTAATGATACTATGCTTACAGATATTTTCGCAATATTGCATGTGATGCTTTATTTACTGTATGTAGTTTTGAGGAATTTTTTTCCTTTTTAATCACCATTTTTCATAGCGTAAATGGGAGTATCTTCTACAATCAGGTGAAATTTGTGAAACCCTAAATTATCAAAAAAGCCATTTAGAAGAAAATCATTAACCAGTATTGGAAATCTTATATTCTCATACATTTAGATCCTCTATAAGTGTACACCCTCTCTAAATGCACGCACGCTCGAGTTTTTCCCAAATATATACATGCCCCCCTATAAATGCACTTTTCTATTTATCTCTAAGTGCACGTTGTTAAAGCTTGGTTCCAAGTGCGTGCACTTATAGAGGTTTTACAATATATATATAATTAAAAATCGAGCGAAGTTCCGAACTCATTCGAAAATAAAATGAAATGAACATAAAAAAAGGATCAGACAAAATTTAAGAAATTTAAAAAAATAGGGATGTAAATAAATTTTACTGTTGAGAACATAAATAAATTTCCGAGAATATTAAATTAAATAAATCCGTTCTCGTAAGAACATACGTCTCAAAACAGATTTCCAACACTGGCATATATGCACAGTTTAGTCTTAATGGTTAACAAGTTAGAAATATCCACAAAAACATGCGGGTTATTAATGAAGGGCTTTGAGACATCTAGTTGTCCACCCTCTTTATTAAGCATTTACATTCATATTAATGATTTTGAACAAAAATGCGATTTCATACTGACTAAACTATGTGATTATCGCCTAGTGACCTACATCGTAACATCGTTATTCTGAAGGAAAATCTCTGACGACAAGTTATATAAGCAGTAATTTTTCACCTAATTCAATTGTTTTTTCTTTTTTAATTTTGTCTCCAGCTCTTGACTAAAAAAAATGCTTTCTCACAAAATTTCGACGCTGGTTTCTATTTTGACTTACTCATTGTTTTTACTATATCCTTTGCCAATTATAGGTGATATAGTTTATAAAAATCTTACTATCACTAGAGGAAGTTATGCACCTGATGGTTTCAAACGAGATATGTTTCTCATAAATGGTCAATTTCCTGGTCCTCTCATTGAATGTAATAAAGGTGATACGATAGTTATGAATGTTAAAAATGAATTAGATGAGGATACTACAATTCATTCTCATGGAATCTTCCAACGCGGGACTCCTTGGTATGATGGTGTTCCTGGTCAATCTCAATGTGGAATTCCATCAAATGGATCATTTACCTACACATTTAAAGTGGAACAAAGTGGGACGTACTGGTAGTAAGTATCTTTTCTTATATAATTACATGAGCTGTCAAATATACATGATTTTTAAAGAGTGCTTGAATTTTTTATAAAAAAAAATAGCCATTCACATTCAAGAACTCAATATATCGAAGGAATATTGGGACCTCTTATAATTTATGATCCTGATGATCCTTATAAAAATGATTATGATGAAGAAATTATTGTGATATTACAGGATTGGTATCATACCGATGCTAAAACTTTATTAGCTACTTATTTAAGTCCTAAGAGTAATGGAAGTGAACCAACTCCCGATAACGGTTTGATTAATGGACACAATTCTTATAATTGCTCATGGGCACCAGAAGGCAGCGATTGCAAAAATAATGCTCCATTGGCACAATTCAATTTCGTTCAAGGAAAGAGATACAGACTTAGAATTATTAATACATCGTAGGTTTTTAACTTTTTTTTTTTTGCTATCACTATAATTTATTTAATTTATTGATTTTAAATATTTACCAATAGAGCATTTTATGAATTCATTTTTTCGATCGACGGGCATCCTCTGGATGTAATTGAAGTTGAAGGGATGATGACCCAGCGTCTCACAGTCCATCGCCTTCCTATTAACATTGCTCAGCGTTACTCAGTTATTGTAACGGCAAATCAAACCGTAGGTCAATATTGGATGCGCGCAGAAATGGAAAGTTTTTGTCATCGTGTTGTACCAGATAATCTCAATCCTCTAGTAAAAGCTGTTGTTGCATATAATGGCAGTACTGGTCAAAGTCCAACATCAACTCCTTGGAGTGACAATGTTGAAAATTGTACGGATTTAAATGATACAGAACTGAAGCCCTTTGAACCACAAGATGTTCCTAATGCAGGCAAAAACTTTACAACATTGATTACTTTCCATCCAGATGCTCATAATGTCACACTAGGATATATAAACAATTTAACTTATAAGATAGACAGCTATCCTACTCTTTTGAAGGTCTATAATGGTGTGACAAACTTCACGCCTGATCAAGTAGTTTTCAAAATTGAACAAAATGAAACTGTAGATGTAACATTATTAAGTATAAATAACAATTTTTACTAATTATTAAAAATAACATTTTTTATTTTATCATTTATCAAGTTATATGTTTTTTATTTTAACTGATTAGACCATGGCGGCGGTGAACATCCATTTCACTTAGTATGTATTCTTAGCAATTAATAGGTAAATAATTAGTAAGTAATTAACGAGTATTGATTAGATAATTTCTAAATTAATATTAGCACGGCCATGTATTCTGGGTCCTCGGCTCAGGTAGAGGTGGCACCCAACCAGATTATAATAATCTAAACACTAAAGATCCAATACAACGAGATACTGCAACTGTTCCTGCTGGCGGGTATGTTAATTTTTTAGGTTTATTTTAAGTTTGATCTGTGAATTTATTTTATTATAATTTATTTGTCATTAGATGGACTATTATTCGATTTGTATCAGATAATCCAGGTGTATGGGGATTCCACTGTCATATTGAGGTAATTTAATAATAGTGATCTCCAAAATTTAATATATTTTTGTTTATTGACTCTAATGTATATATACATATACAAAGTGGCATTTTGAAGCAGGACTATCTGCACAATTTGTTACGCAACCGGATCAAATTTTAGCATTAAACCCACCTGATGATTGGAAAGCATTGTGTCCCAATAATTTCTATAGTTCATAGTTCCGATGGCTCGTTTCAAATGATATTCAGAAGTTGGATGATTAAACTATTTTTAGAAATATTTCTTTTTTTTTTTTTTTTAGATACATAAAATTAGTATATTGAATTGGCAAATCAATTAATAGGCTCTTTATTTCACTACCATTTACAATAAGATTTAGAATTTTATTATCATAATTTGATCTAGAACTTGTTATTTGACCCTTTTTACAGTAATATGATTTAGGTTGCACTTATTACTACTTTTTTTAATACATTTCCATCAGTATACATGCCTAATTAATAATAAAATACATCGATCTTTCCAATAGTAACATGCCTAAATAATTAACAATAAAAAAATATTACTTCAAGTAGTAAACGCGTGAAATAAAAATAAAAATAAAAAGTTTCATGCAAAATTATTTATAAGGATTGTTGATTGTGCTTTCGCATTTTCTAGATTTTTTTTTGTTGGAAGTCTAAAGTCAGGCGGATTTTAAACTGATTACTAACAAATTTGTAAATTAAAATTACGTGATGCATATAAATTGCTATCTGGCTTTAGATAACCTCCTTTCTTGGTAAACAAAAATTTTTCCTATATTAATTTAATAATAATATTAAATAAATATTTGCAAATTCTATTTTTTAAATATTTAATGTCTAAAAATATTTATTTGCATATAATATAAATAAATGTTCGATATTAAACCCTATTAAAAAAAGTTTTACGGAAATTTAAATAAATAAGTTGGGATCTTTGCTAACAAAATGAGGTTCCGAGGCTATGTTGATTTTGTGAATAAAAATTAAATTTGCAAGCCATCTAGCAATCCAATTTGAATAAATTTTTTTTTATTTTGTAAATCTCAATAGAATCTACAAATTAAAAAAAAATTCATTCAAATTGAATAACTAGATAGCTGGCAAATTTAATTTTTATTCACAAAATCAACATAGCCTCAGAACCTCATTTTGTTAGCAAAGATCCCAGTTATAGTTATTGCTTGGGTCTAGAGATGTACCGTATGCATTATGCAGGCGAAGTTGCATGCTACATAATGCTGTATAATGTAATGCAAGTTGCCTAAAATTTAAAAATGCACGTAGAAGTTATTATGTAATTTTGATCCATGTCATTTCATAAACAATTATTTTATAGGCATTTGTTTCTATCAAATTCTTAGCCTGTGAAATCCAAAAAAAATTCATCTACCAGGTCTGTTTTCACTATATAAATCTAATATTTTATGTTTTCAAATCCGACAACCTCTCAGTACTGTTCACTGCATATAGGTTTTAAGAGGTCATAGTATATTATACAGAATTGCATGCGACATAATGTTGCATTATGTAATGTAAGGCCAAAAAAACTTGCATTCGCACATCTCTACTTGGGTCCGATGTAACAATTCTGTGCAATACTTTTTAAGCTAAAAAGTCATTTCTTTAATCATTAGAATTATTAATGTGATGTAAAAGTAAAAACAAGCTTCTTTTCATTATATTTATTTTTAACTCTTTCTCTCTTCTGTTCATTTTTTTTATTGCCCTTTTTATCATATTTCTTTTTAACATTTTCTTTCTTCCAATCAATTTTTTTTTTGTAGCCCTTCTTTTTTTATACACATTTTTAACAAAAAAAAAAGAGAAATGATTTACAGAAAGAAGTCCAATGTTTCACAGATTTATCTCAAGTTACTAACACTAACAAGAACACTGAAAAGTGGCTTCGGCATGTAAAATAATACAGAAAGAACATAATGTTGCAAAAAATTAGAATAAATAGATAACAAAGAAGAGCTTGATACTTACATGAAACTGAAGGCCTTTTTTGCACATTTTTAAAGCTTATAAAGCTCGCTTATACTCTTTTATTAATAAAACTAACTCAAAACCCTAACCCTAATCCTAACTCTAAAAAATGTTTGGATGTTCTATAAAATAGGTAGGCAATATAAAAATAAACTTCACTAATGATTAGTAATCATTAAAGAAAACTTAGTGGAGTTGCAGAGTTTTTAGAATTTGCCCACCTATTCTATAAAGCATTCAAATGTTCTAAAAATTTTTAAATTTTTTTTAAAAAATAGAAAAATTTCATTTTAATCTGTCATATTTATTGATTGGCTTGAAAGAATAGATAGAACTCTCTTTAAGATTGAGTCCTTACATAATTGTTATGCAGCTTTGGTTTATTATTTGAAAGAAAGTATAGCAATTTCAGATAGAATATGTATTTGGAATTGATATAATTTTCCAAAAACATTATTATGTTTAAATAGAAAAATGAGATCGTTGCAATATGCAGGGTTTGGTAATACAGATTAAATAGCCTATTAATCTCTAACAAGATTACTTTCTGTTTAAAACATAATTATTTGTTTACTGATAACAATAAAAGTTTGATTTTTTTAGCTTTCTTTACTTTGTAAACTTCAAGGTCAAGATATATATAATATTATAATATTTAACAACACAAGAATAGTAAATTGCAATTATATTTTTATAAAGAAAAAAATAACCAAGATGAAATTTTCTACTATCAATAGTATAGTCAACCTAATCATAATAATAACCACATCAGAAAATTTTTTAAGCTAATAAGTGACAATTGCTAACAACTAATTGATTATTATCAGTTAAATTTAATCAATAACAATCGATGGTGGTGTTTGCTATCAGCAAATATCCCTATTGATTTTAATTGATAATATTAATAATTAATAGTTTCTAATAATTGATTATTATCGATAAATTATTTATCGATAACTATCGATAACTATCGATAACTATTGATAACTATTAATAGCTATTGATAACTATCAATAACTATCATAACTATTGATAACTATTATTGATTTCTATCAATAGGCTTAATAACTATCGATTTTTATATATCGATTTCTATTAATGGACATGATAACTATCAATTTTTATTATATCGATTTCTATCGATAAGTATAATAACTATCATTTATTATTTATATCAATTACCATTGATGGGGGTGTTACTAATCAATTAGTAGCCTTAAATAGCAATCGATAGTTATCAGTTTAAAAAATTTCCTGATGCAGTTTAAACTAGTTGGCAATATATTACTTTATTTATCTAAGTGTTTATTAAGTTGTTATATTACTAATCTATTATTTTTAGAATATACAAAAAAAAATCAGGTGTATACATATTGTATTTAAAATGTTATATAGATCTAAATTTAAAAAATTAATATATTTTTATTTAGAATTTGATTAAGGAATTTGATATAAATTGACAAGAATAGATACAAATAAATTAAGAAAAATATTGTATCAAATTACTAAAAAAACTGAAGTTAATATTGATAAATGCAAAATAACAAATCATAGTGCACAAAGAAGTACAATTATGATCTTAAAAGCTGTAGATATACCTGAAGATGAAATAATATATTTCTCAAGTTATAGATCTTATAAAGAAATTAGATCAAATAGTAAGTCTATGAATAATTAACAATTAAGTTCAATAGCAATATTGATTCTATATGTAGCAGTTGATAATGATCTCAAAGAATTTTATTTCTACCTAGACAACTTATATACTCATGAGTCTAAAAGTGAAGATACTGATAATATTGATTATATTACATAATATTATATTGTAGATACTGCCAATTGACAAGCTATTAACAACCACATTAAATCTTAAATTTAAAATATGAAATGTAATACCTTTTTTTTATTATTGTATATAAAAAATTTTATTAATTATAAGCAATTAAAGCTTCACAATATTAAGCTTGCTGTTTTAAGTTCCCAGCCCAGAATTTTAAAAATTTTAGAAAATTTTTATCTAATTTAAGTTTACCAGCTTTTAATTCAATATTTCTGCTCAATTTTAAGTTTTCTAGTTCTAAATTTAAGAATTTTTCAAAGTTTTTTTTTGACTTAAGTTTCCTGGTTAGAATTTAAGAATTTTAAAATTTTTTATACAATTTAAATTTTCTGGATTAACAATATGTAAGTATTTAAACATAAGTGTTGTATAGTACTGTATTGTACAATCTTTTTAAAATTTATACAGTATACCTTTTTATCTAATATAAAACTAGATGCTTTTCTTGGTTTAGCTTCATGTATTTTAGGAGTGCCAATATTTGGAATTTTTGGTGTGAATATTTCAACAGGATGAAATGGATCTTTTTCTGTGACTTCACATTCATAAAGAAAAAAAACATCATTATCTTGTACTATATAAGATTGAAGAATTTCTTTATATATAGTATTAATATATATTATAAGATTTTTTTGTTCTTTTGGCATTGCATTTTTTTTATTGTGAAAATATAAAACAAGATCATTTTTTATTCTATCTAAAGTAATTTTATTATTTTCAATATTGTCAAATAAA